TATAGCAATGAAGGCTCAAAAAAGTCCCTCCAATCTTTAGTTATAGCAAATAAAGGCCAATGATTTTTTTTTTTCCGAAATAACCGGTCCAACCCTTAAAAGGACCGGCCGGTTAGCTATGCAAGCAAAATGTCTGCTTGGGATTGTGAATGGCTCAAGCGGGGTGTTCGGCTAGAGGGCTTCTTTGATTTGCTTCGTGGTTATTCGTCTACGCTCCTTCGACCAGTTTCCCTTTCTGTCGGATCGGTTTCGTTGCTTCGCAGGAGGCTTCTTCGGCTCTATTGTGGCTGTTCGACTAAGCTCCTTTGACGACTTTCCCTTCCTGTCGGATCAGGATACTTGCTTTGCAGGAGGCTTCTTCGGCTCCTCCCTTCCGTGAGGCTTCCGTTGAGGGCAAAGTTTCGACTTCTTCTTCCTTGAGGAGGACCGCCGACTTCCGGCTCCGGCTTCAGGCTTCGTTCAGTAAGGCTTCTTCCCGCTCGGTTAATTCCCTCTTTCCTTCGTGCCTCTGATACCATATTACAAAGGAGGATTTGAGAGGAATAAGAGGAAAAAACTTGATTTTATTGCGTACAACCATCCCTCTTTATAGAACTATATAAGATGTTTTAAAAAAGAAATAAATAACTTCAAATTGATACATAATTGTCTCAATATGATCCTTCCTAATTCAGCTACTCTTTTTTTGGAAAGAAATTATTGGGAAAGTAATTCCTGGAGGGATTGAGAGAGCTTCCCATGAATCATGCTTTGTGGCCATGGGATTTCTTTGAGGTTAAATTGCTAGGATTGTAACAACCTTGATACCGAAGTTGGTATTGATGGTTTGTTAGAAACATCTATAAATTAAAAAGGGGGGGTTTTACAGCCAATACAAAGAGAAAAGGGTCGAGAAACTTCAAGCTGAGAATGCTAGAAACCATGCAGCAAACAAGCACAATTTAAGGTGATGCATGAGACACTAGAGCAGAACAACCAAATCTATTAAGGCTATTGTGAAACCAGAATCTGCAAGTCTCTCTCAAAGACCAAGGAGAAATTCATCTCCACCTATTCTACTGAAGGAACTTTCTAAGTCAACCAATTCAAAGAATGTCTCGCCTAAATCATCTTCTATAAAGATTGAAAGCGCTTTACAATCAGGCCCTCTAAAGAAAAAGAATGGAACACATCTAGCTAAAAGCTCTTATGAAGTTTCTTCTAGTAGCATTTCAAGCCGCCAAAGATCCTAGCTATCAAATTCTCCACACCAGCCAAGCCTGAAGTCTAAGAAGTCACTGAGGCGTGCGATAGGAGATCACACCCCATCTTCACCACTCCCGACTTTGATAAAAAACATAGAGGTAATTTTGGAGCCCTTAGAAGTAGAAGGGGTGCGCCGAGGGGAAACATGAGAACATAAGGTATTTATTAAGTGGAATGATTTGCCGGAGTACGTAGCTACATGGGAGCCATATGAGATGATTCAGAGACAGTCTCATCATTCCACCTTGAGGACAAGGTGCATTTTTGGAGAGCACAGGGGAACCCACAGCCACAAAGAGGGAGTTGTTTAGGAAGGTTTCTAATCAAGAGGGTGTTGTTTAGGAAAGTTCTTAATTAAAGAAAATTATTTAGAAAGGTTCATAATCAAGGGGTGAGTTGTTTAGGAAAGTTCCTAATTAAGGGAAATTAATTAGGAAGATTTATGATCAATGGGGGAGTTGTTTAGGAAAGTTTCCTAATTATATTTATGCTATTTAAGAAGTGTTTAATTATTTAAGAAGGATTCCTAAAACATATTTAATTATTTAGGAAGGTTTCCTAAATTATGTTTATGTTGATTAGGAAGATTTTATTTATGTTATTGTATTCTAGGGCTATCTAAGAGAGAGTTTGCCTATAATTTTGGGTATGATATTGCTGAGTTTATTTTTCTAGTATTTGTGGTGAGTTCCAAGCAGCATCTAGAGTTTGCAGGAGAGCTGATCTACCTCTCGAATAGTAGATCAATTGTATCTTGCTTTATTATTGAAGAAGAAATAAGAAATTCAACCCAATCTTGGTTTTCCTACACTGTTTTTCTACGTATTACTTTGTTGTTTTTACTTCCAAAATGCATCACAATCACCATGTGATGGCTAGCTGGAATGCCATGTAGTACACTCTCCAATTACTCATGAATTCTACAAACAGGAATACTATATATGCAATTCCGGTAAAATATCAATTGCATAATGCCAGCAATTCCACATATGAATAATTCCATGGCGCACACAATACGCATATATGTTTAATACTACATGTTTAATGCTACCGTGATTCATTCCCCAAATCCATGCAACCATTTCTGATCAATTCCAGCATGATGCATTCCCTTAATTTTCAAGATTAGTATATGCATGTGGCAGAAGTAATCACCATGTGATGGCTACCTAGAATGCCACACACTATCCAATTACTCGTGAATTCTACCAGCAGAAATACTATATACGCAATTCCAGTAAACAATCAATTACGTAATGCCAGTAATTCCACATTTCCACATAAGAATAATTTCATGGTGTACACAATACACTTATATGTTTAATGCCACCGTGATTCATTCCCCAAATCTGGTCTGGCAAGTTTTGTTGAGGAATGTGAGTTTGGGTCTGGTGCCATTTCTGAGAGGTGAAAAATCTGATATGAAAAAATCAAGAGGTTGATTGAACCCTCATCCATAGGCTTAAATTTATGGGTTGAAAAAGAATTTGAACACTGTATCTTTCCCAACTTTCCCCTCATTGGCCCACATTTGATTTACACTCCATAAAAAGTGGTATCACAGTTGATGGCTCGATTGTGATTAAATGTTTCATACAAATTGTGGCCACCTTCTAACATGGTTCAATAAAATTCAATAATATGTGACTCCAGGATGACTCCTCGTAGTTCAGTAAGCTCTTAGCATATAATACTCAACGATATTAAAAAAAAAAACTATTGGATAGGAAGTGATAGTCTAATGTGAATAATTCTCACATGAGGATAAGATTATTAAGGCATGTGAGAATTTGAGTTTAATCTCACATAATATGAGTGAAAATATATTGTTGTAAAAATACAAATTGGTTGGCCCTAATTAATAAAATAAAGCTTCTAAGTTTAAAATGAATTTAGCTGCTTATATAATCAATCCAACTTTGGTCTGAGGGTTGATTCACGCACCTTAATAACCTTAACAAAAACATCCTTTGTTGCTTTTAAGTTTTAACTAAATTCCTCTCATCAATCATAGGAAAGTTTTGTAAGATTTCTAATAAAACATTTCAAAGAATCAAGCTAACAATTGCATGTCCAACTCCAAGAAGTATATAAAATCTTCTCAACCAACTTCATTGGAAAGCTAGAATGTTAACTGAACGCCTTCTTTCGTGAAGTTTATAGAGGTTTGGGTTGCAAACTTAATTGGTTGAAATGCTTCAACAAATAGAATTCACATGTTCAATTTGAACAAGTGAATTCCCATGGGTACATTTGAATTCACATGCATCAACTAGAAGAGGAGATAGAATTAGAATTAAAGGTTATGAAGAATAAAGGGAAGGTTGAAGGTAAAAAGGGGAGAGAAGTTGCTCAAAATAATTGATGAGTAACAGAATTAATACATTAGGAAGCACTTACTAGAATGAATTGAAAATGAGGTTTCATAACACAAATAGTTGGTATATGACTAATGATGCTGCCGCTGCTGCTGATGATGTTTAATAATCAGCATAATGGAACAAAACCCAAATAGCAGAAATTTATCTTCTCAGATATTATATTCCAAAATTTCACTTTACCAATAACTGTAATGGTTAAGTAGCTCCCTATAACTTCATCTTGATATGCTTTCAAACCAATTAAAACTAAATAAGCATCTAACTCTTCTGGTCAAGATTGTTGAAATTTGAATATAGAGAATTGACGAAGGAATATAAAGCATTTACTCACAAAGGAAAAGGAATAATTATTCATAATAACTAGTCAAGACTCATACGCTGCAATAGAGGATGAAAATGAAACGAAGTTAGGCGTTGATTGCACTTTAAAGACACTGACAAGAATTAAAATGATTGAAGGTTGATCTATTAAACTTAAATTAAAATATTAAAAAATCTAAATTTAAGTCTAATGTCATATGTTATATGTGATTAGTCATTAAATGAAATAGATGAACATTAAGTAATGTTAAAAAATGAAACTTGGTTCCAACATAATTATATTTGAATTTAAATTTAAAAACAAAGACATCCATGATGTGATAGTAAAGTATTAAATAAATAAACCAATATTCAAAATTTAATCAATGTTATATGTTACATGTAAATAGTAATTAAATAAAAACATTGACGATCAAGTAGCCATAAATGAATTTGAGCTACAATATAATTATATTTAAATTCAAATTTAAGAATAATAACATCACTGGTATAACAGTTGATTGTTGCAAAAAATAAGTGAAGCTTTCAAAGTCAAAATGGTATAATGTGTCATATGTCATGTGATAAATATGAAGTATATTTGAATTCAAGTTCAAATTATGATATGTAGCAGTCACAAGAAATGTCAAACATCACCTCTTAGTCATGTACACATATTTACTATGTTTAAAGATATTATTAAAAAACAATACATTGCCACAACATTATCTTGGTTATAATTTAAAATATATATATATATATATAAATTTCATATTTAAAATTAATCACAAATAGTAATTTAAAAAAAAGAGAAGAATTTAAAAAATTTCTAAATACCTAAATACCCTTAAATCCCACTTAAACTCTCTTTCTAGGACTTCCCTCTCATCTGGTCTAAATTTAATTAAAAGTAGAAGACCCTAAGCCAAAAAATAAAATTTCTAGGTGATTTCTCGAGCTCTTACTTAAATATGTGTGAAGCCACAACTTTTTTCACTTATTGAGCACCAAACAATTATTTAACCAAAGCCTTTTTTTGGTAAGACATATTGTATAGGAGATGAAATTACATACCAGCATAAAGGACAAAAATATGACACTGAAAAGTGTCTCGCTAAAGTAACCCCTCTCAGCCCCAAGCTCCTGAAGTATGGAGAGCCAAAGAGGAGAGAAAAAATAAACTTTGGTAAAGAAATGTTAAATTAATGTTATTTCCACATGACAAAAGTACCCACCGGAAGGATCATGAATCCAATATCTTTAAGAATTGGCCCAGGTTGGTGCAAATAGTGAACGCCTCGAGCAGCTAAACCATGAATATACTAGAAAAAGCCAAGGGAAAATTGTAAGTTTCAAACTATGCCCTGGTTCAAAAGAGATGTAAAGCTCTTCAAGTTTCTTAGGAGCATGCACCACAAAAGGGGTGATATGCATGGAATAGGAATAAAAGAATTTCTTTAAAGCCTTTTTACATGATATAAAGCCTGGATAAGAATTCATTCAGGAGAATAAAAAAAACAAAGAAAATTATTTAATGCATAAAAGTATTGAGCAAACAAAATAAAAGTATTGAGGAGTGGTCTTTAGATATATTTTGAGAATTATTTGATGTATTCAAGTAATTTATGTTTTTCTTATTATTACGTAGCCTGTATCTTTAAGCAATAGAAAAGAGTGACATTAGCAGATAGAACAATTTAAAAAAAGGTGGTAAACTAGAACAACTGTACAGATAAGTCTAAAGAAGATCCAATCCAGGAAGAAAGAACAATAAACAGCTCATGATTTCCTCTGTCTTGCAAATTGGAGATCAAGGGTTCAATTCCTTCAAGAACATGTCAGGGAGGCATGTTGTTTGGATTTTTAGAGTGACTGTGGTGATCTAAACGTGCAGCAAACATATCAAAGCTAAATATGCAATTGTAAAGTAAACTGCTTATGTGCAAAGATTGCACTTGAAGACAAATGACTTTGATTTAGAAGAACACCAGAGGAGTTAGGGATGTGAAGAAATTAGTAAAAGGAACCTTTTAGAATAGGATTCTCTTAAAAAGAAATAGCCTTCTATGGAAATCATGTAATAAGTAAACTTAAAAAGATAAAAATGATATTGCTCCTTATAGGACACTTTCAAAAGTTGATAATAAAAGGGGTAAATGATAGTGAAGGAACCAAAACAAATTTAATTTAGAAGCCACAGAAATCAAGAGCTTTGTGTTCCTTTCTACAACATATAACTCTGAGCATTTAGCAGATTATCCACTACTTTTGAACATTGCTAAATCCATACAAAGGTTGCTCAAGTATATTTGTGCGTGTTGATGCAATGTTGTTTTACTCCTCACATAATATACTAACAATTGAGTTTCAAAATTTTCTGACAAGAAACTGGGGATTTCTAACCCCTTTAGCATTTAGTCTAAGTATTCCATTACCATGTCTTAATAAAAGTGTCCTTAGGGTAGACTATATAACATAAAATTCAAGAACAATAAAATATAAGTCAACCCCAAATGCATTTACACTTATAAATACAGTATAATCAGATACAATCAAAGAAGATTCAAATTAAAATCGATAACTAAACTAAGAGATTATAGTGATGAACCCCTAGGGTAGTAGAAATTAGGCTTGTAAACAAGCAAAACATTGCCTCATTCAAATATGTTTATCTGTTATTATCATACTCGAAAAAAAAAATATTGAACATGCATTTTGTTTTAAAATCTCACTCAAACTTGCTTGTATACTTCTTATCGAGCGACATCCAAAAACCAAACTTTAATCACACTCGATAGACTATATGCGAGATATTACTTATTTAATCATATATCTAATTATTGAATAGAAAGAATATACAAACTTGTTCATAAAAATTGGCATATTTCAGTTATCATGTCTTTTAATCTTTTTGAAAATATAAATACTGATTAAAAAATTATTCATTTGAATAATCTAATACTTTGCTCAATATGAACTATCATTATATTTATACCTTTATTAATATATACATCACCCAAAATGTATATGATGAAAATATGTTTAATGCAAGAAAATAAAGTGAGTCGTTTAAGAATCTATCATACAATCATTAAGGGGGCATTTAATAGAGATCTTAGCAAACTAATTGGTGAATAACAAATAAAAAAGCACATCAGCATCAATGGACAAGAGAGTCAATGCCCAAATTTGTTCATTTATATGCAAAATTCCATAAACCATGAGGTAGTTTATTCAATTATTCAAGTACTTGAAGCCTTAAACGAACTGGTATCAAGCAATTCATCCAACATACTACTTCATTTGCACCCGTAATAGAAACACTTTCACATGAAAAGTCGTATCACCGGAGTACATAGAAGACAGCAATTTAGCAGTTTCAGAACACACGTACTTCTTTACGAAACTATCTGCAAAGAATTCGAGACCCAGTGCACAAAAAAGATGCATACAAAGATATAAGACCATTAAAGAAGACATACAACCACCATCAAGATCAAGAAAAAGAGAGTGCGAGCTGCAAACTACGATCTGTAAGATTCTCAGCAACTCCACATAAAAATATCTTTAAGGAAAATTCAAGATGAATACCCCCCAAAACTTTACACTTTCTCACTGAATTTAGGTTTTGCAAACAAAAGCAGCCGAAAAAAAAAAAAATTCTACCTGAAATATGAGACCAGCAAGCAGATACTTCCATTTCTCAGCCAGAAAATGAAGCTCCAATGACGTTTCTACACAAATCTTCCTCCATAGCTGACATCACACAAAGCCCTCTCAAAATAACATAAATAATATATCAACTCGGAAAGAAATCGCACGGTAAGATGTAGAATAGAGCAGAGGTGAAAGAAAACATGTGAAACAAACCTTGGAAGCCTCGCGAGCAAGATAAACCATAGTAGTGGCAATCCACGGCACAAGTTCCATAGAATGTTAGAAGACGTCTGCTCTTCCGCTCATCCTTCTTCACCTTCAAAGTCAAAACTATTGAAACTCCAAACAGTGCTATCAATCGCTCCTTCGGCTACTTATCTGACGGCGGGGGAGGGGGCGGGGGCGGGACCGCAGATGATTCGATGAAGTTATGTTCTGTCGAAGCTTGACTGACCTTTTTCCCTTATCAATTAATACCTGCACTGATTTCAAACAATTAAAATGCTTTTAATTTGGCCAGTCGCGTTCTTCTGGCAACCAGACCGCTCAGAAGGACGACTAAACACCGGAGAGAGAGGGAGAGAGATAAACTTCTACTTCTTGTTCGCGTCTCTGCTAGTGCGATCGGTTACGAGAAAGGACAAGAAACTGCGAGCGGAGCCTCTTGATGGATTCACCGAATCTCAACAAAATAAAAATAAAATTTCAGGACTTAAAAACTTAAATAAGAAAATAATAATTTATGATTGCCCGTTGCATGTAAGATAACGAAGGCTCATTCATTAGTTAGTTATGTTTGGTTGTGTTTTTATTTAATTTTATTTTATTTGAAGAATTAGCTTTTATATATTTAATTAGAGAAATATTTAAGCTATTTACTTTTCAAAAATTGTCCAAAACTTGGTTTCAAATCAAATAAATTTCTTATGTTTATGTCTTCACCATGAAACAAAAAAGATGTTGTCTTTTCATACAAATTATTGAATTCAAATTTCTTCATAGATGATATGCGACCTTACTAGCAGGCTGGCTAGATGAATATGCAAGTAGAATTTGTATGAGAATGTAAAATAGAGAGTAGAGGTAAAGTATAGTGGTGTCGAGTGAAAAATAAGCAAGTTTAGTAGGGGCGAGTATGTAGTACTAGGCAGGTTTGTGAGCTAGCATCGGGCATGGGTAACTTGGTGATTTTATTTGATTGGAAATCATGGGTGGTCTATACCGAGCCTCAGGTTACCACGAGGGAATTAGCGAATGAGATGAGACAACTGAAACAACTAGCTGTGGTTGATATGCATAGAGCAAGTTGAGGACCTAAGTAGGCTTTTTCTTTCCCTATAATTGAGTTTGGATGGAGGGATGGTTGTTCTGGGAGTGAGCAAGTGATTGATAATTGAGTCAATGTATGTGATGGGTGTCGAGTTGTTGATCTAATGAGGAATCTCGTAGTTGCCGTGTATAGTGTAGTTCTCTGGTAAACTTGGGCAAGTGATGTATGTTGATCTAGTTGGGGTGAGTTTCCCTTTGACTTCCAGATCAGTACCACTCCCCTTAGATTGCTTAGAAGAGTTCCCCCATAGTCCCTCTTAAAAGGAAAATCCTTTATCTTGGCCCGCTAGCCACTTGCTAAGTACCTGAGAAAGCATATGTAAGTATATTTTTAGTTTCCCAATTCACTTATCCCTTTGATAGATGAGTGATGAAAATGATGAGATAATGAGAATATCAAGAGCATTAAATAAGGCTAAACAAGTATAAAGAAAAAAAATGTGAATTTATAATCTTGTTTACTGTAGCCTTGAGGACTGTGTTGACCTCATATTGATGACAGTGATGTGATATCACCCTCCAAGTGATTCTCTATAAATATGGGGTCTGCATTATGAAAGATTTGCACTTTTGTTTATGTGATGAGAGCTTATGAATTCGACGAATCTTTGAGAGAATGAATTCCTTAGCAATTGCTCATCTTAGCTGAGAGCATCCAAGAAAGTTATCTTTCTACAGGGGCGGGTTAAGTTTGGGGTGATTGAGGTTTCATTGAGAAAGGAGTTGGTCAGTAATGCCCAATTGACACAGGTGATCCCCGAGCTTAATGTTGCCCTACCTATAAAGAAGGTTGAAAGAAGATCCGAAAGCTACATTTGGAAGAGAGAGAACGTCCGTCTTTTACGCAGGAGAGAGGTTTGCTTTTCAAAATTTCATTCATGGCGGGTAAACCGCTGTTGACGGAAGATGCGGCTGCCTTCGCCGCTGAGCGTCGAATTCCTCCCGGCGATCCTCCCGGAGCTCTTGGCCATCCTCAAGTTTCTTTCAATTATTTGAAACCGGGACCAATCAGATTTTATGAGCCGTCTTTTGATGCTTTGAAGAAAACGCTTCCAGTTCTAGGGAAAGGAAAAGAAAAAGTAATACCATATGATGATCTGAAGCTTCAACATTCTCCAAATCAATTGATCAAAGAAACAGAAATGTCATCTTCATCAAATTCAAAAATATTTGTTAACAGGTTTGGCGTAAACAATTCTAAACCTTTGTTCATGGAAGAGGAGATTTCATTTGCTCAAAAACTGATGGAAAACAATCAAGATGTTTGTGACAATGTCGTAAAGGAAGGAAATTCATTGCTTGCTAACAACAATATTGGTATTAGTACCAATATTTCGGTGAGAAACCAAATATCAAAGTTAAATTTTTCATAGATGAATCATTATTAACAGAGGATGGGAAATCTATCAAGTTAAATGAATCTAATATGAAGATCAATGCAGAAAAACTACAATCATCTATTGTAGTGAAGGTCTTTTGGGACAAGGCTCGTGTTGCTGTGATAGCAAGAGAATTGCGACGACAATGGAATTTATTTGGTAAATTCCATATTACTTCATTGGGTCTTGGTTGGATTCTTTGCTCTTTCTTTGAAGAAGGTGCTGCGAAAAAAATTCTAGGAGGACCTTGGTATGTCAACGGCCACATCGTGGGGATGGATAGATGGTCCCCTTTATTCACACCTTCATCATTAAAAGGCCTCTCCTCACCGATTTGGGTAAGGCTTCCTCATCTGCCTTTGATTTGTTGGGACAAAGACAATGTGGCCAGAATTGCTTCTATGATCGGACAATCACTATGGATAGATGGAAATATGTTCCAGTGGAGCAAAAGGGAGTATGCAAGAGTTTGTATCAGAATGGTTCTAGATCAACAATTCCCAACAGGTGTTTGGGTAGAAAGCTCTTACGGTCATTTCTTTCAAAAAGTTGAATATGATAAGGTGTCCACATTCTGCTTCAAATGTGGGAAGGTAGGACATTTGAGAGACAAATGTATTGAAGGGAATACTGCCAATCTTGAAGGCCAAAATTTTAAATCGGGTCCTCACTGTGAAATCAAAAACAAACGGAAGAAATGGTAGCTGACAAGGATTATGGTCCTTGGATTCTTGCTAATAATAAAATGAGAAGGAGGAGGACCGGTTCTAACATTGGCAAAGAAACTTATGTAGCTCCTAATCCAAATTCTGTTAAATAGATTTATGTCAAAAAAATTCCCACTAGAACTGATCCGAAAAATCCTATTCTAGAAAAATATGTTAACAGAGAAAAGGAAATGTGTAACTTGCAGTGTATAGATGCTGAAATCTCGAAAGATATGGAAGAATCAAGGTTAGAAGATATTTCAAAAGATTCCAGCAGGACTAATAATGTAACAGCTAAAGACATTTCGGAATTGGAAATGCCTCTCTCAAATTCATACTCAATTGGTCTCAATCCAGCTATAGAAGAAAATAAAGGCTTTGAAACAGAAAATGGAACACTCGAAGAAGGGGAAATTCCTTATCAAAAGATGGAAAGAATCGCTGCAGCTGAACAATTGGAGTTGACAGACTCTTCAAAAGCTAAAGGAAAATTACTCAAAGAACTCATTTCCTTGGGTAAAGATAACATTATGTCTCAGAAAAGTAAAAGTGAAAACTCTAAGAAGATTAAAAGTGGAATTTATTCCACTTTTAAAACCAAATGACGTCCATAGCATTCTGGAATTGTAGGGGAGCTAGAAAGTCATAAGCTTCCCGGTATCTAAAGGAATTTGTTAAGGAGTATAATTCCTTTTTTGTGGGGCTTGTTGAAACAAAGGTTGTTTCTTTTGATAGACTTGAAGTTAGTAAACTAATTGGAGATAATTGGGATTTTTTCTATGTCCCATCCGAAGGTCTCTCAGGCGGTATTCTAATCAGTTGGAAGAGAAATTTTTGTTCTTTTACTATTATGCATTCTTCTTCACAAGCAGTGATTGGAGTTATGAAAATTCTAAATAAAGGGGATTGGTTGATAGCAACTATATACGGCAGGAGAGATACTTATGAAAGAAGAAGACTTTGGGAAATTCTAAAGGCTAATTCAAACAATCAACTCCCTTCTATCCTAGGAGGTGACTTTAATTGTGTATTATCTCAAGAGGAGAAAAGGGGAGGAAAGAAATTTTCATTCTCCCAAGGACCTCAAGACATGAAGGCTTTCATGAATAACTGTGATTTTCATGACGTGGGCTTTATCGAACCCAAATTCACTTGGTGTAACAATAAGCAAGGAGGAGCTCGTATACTAGAAAGGTTAGATCGTTACCTTATCAACTCATAAGCTTTGAAGAACATTCAACCTGCAGTTTTTCATCACCTTGGGAGAATTGCTTCAGATCGCTATCCATTAATCTTCAACATTTTAAATTCTGGTTTCAGAAAACAGAAAAAACTGTAGTTCGAGGATACTTGGGCTTCATTTCCAGCTTCCAAAGCCATTGTTTCGAATACATGGAGGAAATCTGTCAGAGGAGATGGCGTTCAAGTTTTGAATACTAAATTTAGAAGAGTTCTTAAAGCTCTTTTTCATTGGAGTAGATCGAAGCACTCTAATCTCAACTCTCTTAAAGAAGAACTGAAGAAGGATATCATTGAGCTACAAGAAGAAGAAGCTAATTCAGGGGGATTATCTGAAGATAAAATCTGCTTGCTAAAATTTAAGGTAAAAGAACTTAATTCAACCTTGGGAAGACTGCCTTCTTGGTGAAACAAAGAGCAGAAGTTAAATGGATCAAGGATGGAGATTCTAATACAGAATATTTTCATTCTGTGGCTTCATCCAGACGGAGGCAGAACTTCATCAATCAAATTAGAAATTCGGAAGGAAGGTTGAGTGAAGAACCAGAATGCATTGAAGAATCCTTTTTGAAGTATTTCAAAACGAAATGGAGAATGAGGAAATGCAAGTTGACGGGATGGCCTGTACCGAGCAAAATCCTGGAAGAAGCTGAAATTAATTCATTGGAGGCTGATTTCTCTGTTACAGAACTAGAAGCAGTTATCCAACAACTTGAAGGTAATATTTCTCCTGGTCTTGATGGAATTACTCACTCTTTTATCAAATTTTATTGGAAATTCATTAAAGAAGACATTTGGAAAGCAGTTTATCAATTCTTGCATTCTGGTCTCATGTGTGATCTTTGGAAGGAAACTGCTGTTATCCTTATTCCAAAGATTAAAAACCCAGTAAATCCGTCTAATTATAGACCGATTAGCCTTTGTAATACCATCTATAAAATTTCAGCTAGAATATTATTAAATAGATTAATTGGCTGCATTCCTAAGATCATATCCGAAAATCAAGTTGCATTCATCAAAGGTAGATCCATTTCTGATAACATTCTCTTATCCCAAGAAATCATCA